TATTTTTTTTAAAGGTAATGTGTTCGAAGGATTTAAGGAAGGACAAATTGCTTTCTTTCCAACGTACAAATTTGATCTGAACAGTGATACGTATGATAGTTCCTCTAAAAAAAGAACTCCATCTTACACAGTAAGTCATTATTTGATCATTGACATCAGAACATGCATAGATTCTAGGTATTTGTTGTAGCAGGTCTCAGACACCAGAACATGCATAGATTCTAGGTGTTTGTTGTAGCAGATCTCAGACATCAAAACATACATGGATTCTAGGTATTTGTTGTAGCAGGTCTTAGACACCAGAACATGCATATATTCTAGGTATTTGTTGTAGCAGGTCTCAGACATCAAAGCATACATGGATTCTAGGTATTTGTTGTAGCAGGTCTCAGACATCAAAACATGCATATATTCTAGGTATTTGTTGTAGCAGGTCTCAGACATCAAAACATGCATAGATTCTAGGTATTTGTTGTAGCAAGTCTCAGACATCAGAACATGCATAGATTCTAGGTATTTGTTGTAGCAGGTCTTAGACATCAGAACATGCATAGATTCTAGGTATTGTTGTAGCAGGTCTCAGACATCAAAACATACATGGATTCTAGGTATTTGTTGTAGCAGGTCTCAGACATCAGAACATGCATAGATTCTAGGTATTTGTTGTAGCAGGTTTCAGACATCAAAACATGCATAGATTCTAGGTATTTGTTGTAGCAGGTCTTAGACACCAGAACATGCATAGATTCTATGTGTTTGTTGTAGCAGGTCTCAGACATCAAAACATGCATGGATTCTATGTGTTTGTTGTAGCAGGTATCAGACATCAAAACATGCATAGATTCTATGTGTTTGTTGTAGCAGGTCTTAGACACATGCATATGTATGTATATATGTACTGTAAATTAATCACTGACTATGTCTTATCATTTGTATGTAGGATAGGATATTGTACAGATCTAAGAAACTCAATGATGTACATCTAGATGTCTATAACAGCTGTAGCAGTATAAAAATATCAGATCATAGAGCAGTGTATGCAGTATTTAGTGCTAAGATACGACCTGGAAAAGATAGGTAAGTCATTCTTGGCTATATTCTCCCATTTTGCATGAGTTCACCAATGCCCTGTGATGATCATGGTGTTCTCCATGCCATACATCACTTTAATATTCCATGTTTTAACACAGCCCAAAAATGAGGAATTATGAATTGACCTTTATCTATATGTATGTGCCTGTATTCCAAACATGCTTCGGCTGATCGCATTCAGACTTCGCATACATCTCAAATTTGTGGGTTAATATGCACTTTTTTGATCTGATTCAAGACGATTGAGTGGCAGCCATTTTAATGTTAAAATTTCATCAAATCAAAAGTTTTCTTTCATTGGAATCAAGTCTTAGTTGTATATGAATGGATTTTGTTCAAACTTGGTTACCGGGTACTTACATTATGGGACCTTGATGCACATAATTTTGTTTTTCAGATCAGATTTAAAATGGCCAATTGACAGCCATTTTGTTTGAATGAATGATGTTGAAGAGTCATATCTCTGACATGTCTTGACCAATCATATTCAAACTTTATGTGTACAACATGTTACACATATTGCACATTAATTTTTTGAAAATTCATTTTTTGGGGTAATGTCACACACTATTTACACATTCTGTTTTCATTACAGCATGCCTGTATCTGGTGGAGTTTTTAACAGAAATGTGTTTCTAGCAGGTAATTATTAAGCAACAATTTTAATAATGGGATACATCTCTTTAAAAAGTTCTGTTGTCCATTGATACTTGCATCACGTTATGTCAGCATGTCTGCTATCAGGGCCCCTCTACCAACAGATATGTACATTAAAGGAAAAGTCAAGGCAAACAACATAATGATCCCAGATGAATGAGCTCCACAAATGTAGGAGAATGTAATTTACAGTTTTTTAAATCACTTTTCATTCAAATTCTCATCAGTATTATGTAGTACACCATCTTGATTGTCCAGCAAAGGATTGTGGGTAAATTAATTGAGAAAATGCTTTCATCTGTAACATGAGAAATACTGATGTAAATTAGTTAAAATTTTCGATGTGCATATTACTTGTGTATATAATTATAATAATGGAAATTAGAATGTTACAAATTCACAAAAAGTAAAGATATTGCGAAAACATAAAATAAATTTATTTTTGTGGCTGAAAAATAAAATGACACTTTTTTGTTCCCTTTTTGTGGTCAACAAAAGTATATCATCATCCGTTTATATATCATCCGTTTATATATCATCCGTTTAACCTTCTTGCATCGATGAATTGTATAAAATATGCGAAAAATTGCCATGACAATTATTTTTCATGCATGTTTGGCACTGGTACATGTACAATGTATGCTACATGTTCTAAACTTTCAGCCAATTTGAAGTCATACTTTTGAAGTTATAGATGAAATCATTTTCTCACAACAGTGGATATGACGTCATATTTTACCCATAATTCTTTGCTGAAGAATTACGATAGTGGATTACATAAATTGATGAAAAGTTGAATATCTAAAGAAATGAAAAGTGATATAAAAAAATTGTAAATTGCATTTTCTTACATTTATCATGCTTTTTCATCTGGGAGCATTATGTTGTTAGCCGTGACTTTTCCTTTAACTCTGTGGTGTTTGCTTTTCTTTGTTTTTACTTTCTATGAAATTATAATTATTTGCACCAATAATCAAAGGTCAATCAAAGGTCAAAGTTTCTTTCTTTTATTTCACAGGGTATAAAAGAAGATCTGAAATATCACGGAAAAACCAGAAAAGCAGCGCA